TTGAAAGATCAAAGACAATTTTTAATATAACTCCGACTGGATTCGTCTGAAAGAAGAAAGTCATATACACCTAGGATGCATCGGGGGTGAGTAAAACGCAGCCTAATTTAAATTTTTGGGTGAACTAACCCTTTAAGTGCCGGCGACGCAGTGTTGCCAGATATTGATACTAAAACAAACAAAAAATAAACCGAAATTATTTCCTATCTTTTGCAAATAAGATAAGATAAAGATATCGCTGACTCTAAACTGCAACTTCCTACTTTATTAACTTTCTAAAGTGCTAAATTAAGTGGAAAAGACAAGTCCAAAAATGCTTGGATCTGGAAACAGAGGCTGCGCCCGCGCCCTCACTCACAACTATCTCAAGCCTCGTTCACTCCGCCATCGTCTCACAGCGATCATTTTCATAACAGGGAAGCTAAACATTCTTGCAAACGGTCTAAACTGAATTATACATGTCATGCAGGCATTCATATGAGGAGTTTAACAGCAAACTAGTCATTCAAGGAACACATTTTATTTTTGAACATGAAAAATTTACTGAGGTCCGGACCTTGGTGGCCTCATAGTAGGGATGGGCGATATCTTATCGTTTGCGATATACCGGTAAAAATTCTCCACATATTTTTGTTTACACATGGTTCAAATGTGTTTTTGTTTACACATGATTCAAATCTACAAATGCTACAGTTGAACTATGGTCATTTTAGTAAAACCATGGTTCATTATAATAAGGGATTTCCAGTGACAGGCTGTTGCATCCATAAAATGCAACCTTTTTGCTCTGACAGTGTATGATTTCTATTAACATTACAGAATAGAACATGATCTATATTATCTTTCAACGTTCAATTTAAATAAATGTAATTGTACAAACTATGTAGGCTACGATTTCAGTTCGTTTATTGTGAAATAACTCAAACATATGCTTTTTTCTGTCCTGATAAGCATTGTTCAGGGCTGCTGTTCCCAAAAGCTTTTGATGCTTTCTTATGATACTTTTGG